AACACTGTTCTTCCACGCTGGCATCAGCTAGGCACTCTTGGAAACTGGGCCACTGTCTTGCAGATTGTGGCAGGAGGAAATGGCAACTCACTCCAGTATTCTTGCCTGGAAAATTCCATGGGCAGAGGGGCCTGGTGGACTATATACATGGGACCGCAAAGTTGGACACAGCTGAAGTGACTAAGCGTGGACACTCGCTCTCTTAACAAGGTTTAACAGCCTCGTCTTTGATCAGGCATTGCTGTGGTTGCTGTTAAGTGTCTGATCAGATTCCAGAGTTCTGAAATGGTTGATTTTGATCAACTTAACAGTTTACTAATTGTTTTGGTGGAGGGACTGACACCTAGAGCTTCCTACTCCATTTTCTCTAACATCACTTATGGCATCTTTTTTTATAGAACTGTTTTTAAGTCTTATCTCAGTCACATAAAATTTCACAGCAGATATTTTAAATCTTGAGGAAAAGATGAGTTATTCAGTAAGTAGTATAGGAAAAACAGGCTTGCCATTTTGGAGGGAAAAGGAAAAATTGGATCCTAACCTTCTCCTTATGCCAATATTAATGCTTTATGTATTAAAGATTTAAATGCCTTTAAAAGAAAAATGGTGCCAGGAATAAAGTCTAAATAATTCTTTGTACTTTTTTAAAATGACCTTGCAGTCAGGAATGCCTGGAGCTATAAAAGCAAAGATTGGGTAATTTGCACAAATTTCAAAAGTTAATGTCCTGAATTTAAAAAAATTACAAATTAGATGAATTGCTTAATTTATTTGAACACAGAGTATGACTGATAATATAGAGGAAAAACAGATGACCAGTAAATGTAAGTAGAATATCAGTCTCGTTCATAATTAATTGAATGTTGATCAGTGAATCATGGATTATTCACTTGAGAAATTTGCAAACTTTTTTTTTCTTGCTTGATAAAGTTGAGGAATAGACACTTGTCATTTACTGTTGGTAAGAATGTGACTTGCTGCAACCTTTCTGGAAATTAGTTTTATTGACCCAGCAATTCTACTGGTAGAGATTACCCTATAGATATTTACAAAGATAAACCAAGATAGTCATAGATTCAAAAACCCAAACAATTGAAATTCCATAAGGAGAGCTGATTAAATTATCGTTAAGTCCATATAGGAGAAAACTATATAGCCATTAAATAGAATGAAAGTGTTAGTCGTTCAGCTATGTCCCACTCTTTGCGACCCCACAGACTGTAGCCAGCCAGGCTCCTCTGTCCATGGAATTCTCCAGGCAAGAATACTGGAGTGGGTAGTCATTCCCTTCTCCAAGGGATCTTCCCAGCTCAGGGATTGAACTGGGTCTCCTGCATTACAAGTAGATGATTTACCATCTGAGCCATCAGGGAAACCCAGACATAATGAATTCCCTCTTATGCTATTATGGTGTCCTAATCCATTCAACCTACTATAACAAAGTGCCATAGACTGGGTGACTTATAAACAACAGAAATTTATTTCTCAGAGTTCTGGAGGCTGAGAAGACTAGGGTCAAGGTGCCAGCAGGTGTGGCTTCTGGTGAGGGCCTACTCACTAATTCAAGGTGCCAGCAGGTGTGGCTTCTGGTGAGGGCCTACTCACTAATTCGTAGACAGCCGTCTTTTCAACTGTCTCTTCATATAGCCAGAGGGGACAAGGGAATTCTCTGTTGTCTCTTCATAAGGGCACTAATCCCATTCAGGAGGTCTCTGGCCTACTCATCCCCCAAAGCAAACACAATCACACTGGGGGAGGTGTTCAGCATGCATTTGGGGGACATAATCAGTTTATAGGATGTCAGATATTCTGCCAGATACATTGACAGAGCTTGGACAGAGTAGAATGTAGGTAATGAGTCCATTTGGGTTGGAGTTTTTAAAGAATATAGATCATTTATTCTGATATATGCACAGAGAAGTTTCTAGAAATATATACAGGAGTTTGTAAATCATGGTTTGTTTTGTTGGGGAGGGGAACTAGGAATAAATGGTGGAGAGATTTTTTTAACAGCTTTTTGTGTTTTATGCCCTCCCGATTTTTTTTCCAAATAGCTAAAACCAAAATTCTGTGGTGATGAGAGCTTACATACCTGTAGTCTGTATGCATTTATGTAGTTAACTTTTCCTTTTGAAATTTAAATAGCTAAGTTTATTTCCTGGTCTTTTTGTTGTTGTTTTTAATCATTATGAAATGTTTTGTTTGTGCTCAGTTGCTCAGTTGTGGCTCTTTACGACCCCACAGATGGTAGCACACCAGGGTCCTCTGTCCGTGGGACTTCCCAGGCAAAAATAGTGGAGTAGATTGCCGTTTCCCTCTCTGGGGGTCTTCCCGACCCAGGGATCAAACACATGTCTCCTGCATTGGCAGGCGGATTTTTTACCACTGTGCCACCTGGGAAGCCACTATGAAATGTTCTGAGAGCTCTAAATAATAAATTAATACTAAATTCTAAAAACACTGCCTTACCTCTTAAAATTATTAATGATTAATCTGCTGTTTTCACATCTCCTTAGAAGACGCAGTGATGTGATAGGAAAAATAGCATAGGCTTTGGAGTCATAGAAACTTAGATTTCAAATCCCAACATAAGAAAAACTAGCTTTTATTTTAGCCTTAGGAAATTTACTTGAAATAGTGAACTTAAGATAACAGCTCTCTACATTTGTAGATTAGGTGAGAAGGTGTATAGTCCCTCAGTTCAGTTCAGTCTCTCAGTCCTATCGGACTCTTTGCAACCCCATGGATTGCAGCTTGCCAGCCTCCCTGTCCATCACCAGCTCCCGTACATGCTCAAACTCATGTCCATCGAGTTGGTGATGCCATCCAACCATCTCATCTTCTGTCGTCCCCTTTTCCTCTCGTCTTCAATCTTTCACAACATCAGGGTCTTTTCAAATGAATCAGTTCTTTGCATCAGGTGGCCAAAGTATTGGAGTTCCAGCTGTATAGTCCCTGGTGTATAGTAATTACTCAAAAAACTTTGGTAGTTTCTTCTCTTGGCATTTCTCCATGTCTCTGAAAGGTAACTTTCAACCTTTGTTGGGTTATCTGCTTCTTTTTTCTGGTACTTAGAAAATCTGCTATTTAGCAATGTTTAGATATGGTATCAGACCCAAGTGACAAATAGCACCAGTAAATCTGTTGAGGGACTCCCCTGGTGGTCCAGTGGCTAAGACTCCAGGCTCCCAGTGAGGAGGGCCTGAATTTGATCCCTGGGATTGCAGCCATGAAATTAAAAGACACTTAGTCCTTGGAAGGAAAGTTATGACCAACCTAGATAGCATATTAAAAAGCAGAGACATTACTTTGTCAACAAAGGTCCATCTAGTCAAGGCTATGGTTTTTCCAGTGGTCATGTATGGATGTGAGAGTTGGACTGTGAAGAAAGCTGAGCCCCAAAGAATTGATGCTTTTGAACTGTGGTGTTGGAGAAGACTCTTGAGAGTCCCTTGGACTGCAAGAAGATCCAACCAGTCCATCCTAAAGGAGATCAGTCCTGGGTGTTCATTGGAAGGACTGATGCTGAAGCTGAAACTCCAATACTTTGGCCACCTCATGCAAAGAGTTGACTCATTGGAAAAGACCCTGATGCTGGGAGGGATTGGGGGCAGGAGGAGGAGGGGACGACAGAGGATGAGATGGCTGGATGGCATCACTGACTCGATGGACATGAATTTGGGTGAACTCCGGGAGTTGGTGATGGACAGGGAGGCCTGGCGTGCTGCGATTCATGGGGTCGCAAAGAGTCGGACACGACTGAGCGACTGAACTGAACTGAACTGAGGGAACTAGATCCCACATGCTACAGCTGAGAGTTTGCAGGCTGCATCTGGAGAGCCGGCCTGCTGCAACTGAGACCTGGTGCAGCTAAATCAATACAAATTAAACAGATAAATCTGTTGGGTTTTCTGGTTTGTTTTAATTTTCTCTGGAATTGCAGAGCCTGAGCAGCATCTCTAGCAGAGTTCATGGCATTGATCACTCTTGTTGTGAGTTGTCTGTAAAGCTTGACTCACCCCACAAAATATATTTATGATAATGCAACAAGCAGTCCCTTCTTCTTTCTTACAACTATTTTCAGATTGAGTTCGCTCAGTAACAGGGGCAGTGTTTACTGTACTCTTTGTTCTGTAGCTTTTAAAGCAATTTGGAGATCACCAGAGAGAAAGAATACCTTGCCTTGCCATTTTGTTCTGTTTCACGTTATCAGAAGCTCTTAAGGGTCTAGAATTCCGACAGCAGCTCGAGCAACCCTTGTTGTTTGGGACCTCAGTGAGTTAGCCCCTATGGTGCTGAAGAATCAAAGGCCTGTCTGAACTGATCACACCTCTTCAGCCCTTTGTCCCCTCCCTGGATTCTAGCACAGTGGTCTTCTTTCAGTTCCTTGCAGTTCCTGAGATCATTTCTGCCTAAGGGACTTTACATGGTGCTTTAAGAATCTGCCTGCGATGCGGGAGACCCGGCTTTGATCCCTGGGTCCGGAAGATCCCCTGGAGAAGAAAATGGCAACCCACTCCAGTATTCTTGCCTGGGAAATCCCATGGACAGAGGAGCCTGACGGGCTGCAGTCCCTGGGATTGCAGAGTCAGAGACGACTAAGCAACTAACACCCCTTCTTTCCACAATTCTTCCTCGTGTGAATTGAATCTGAGGCCTCTTAAAAATTCTGTCAGGAACAGGTATTGTATTTGTTCTGACTAGAAATATTTATTTTGTTTTACTTGCGATTTATATAGTTTACAAATATCTCTGGATTCTGTTTTCTCTCAGACACAGGCAATGTCAAGAGTTAATACCATAAGTAATGGTGGGAGGTTCTTGCTTTTGGCACACTCAACACCTGCAAGCTTTGCTCTGAGGGATCAAGGCTCCACCCACCGTCCCCACCCCCCCACTATGGAGCCTTAGTTTTCTTAGTGATCTGTAAGTTTCTCTTTGGGCTGGAATTAGTACTAATTTTTCTTTCTCTTTTAGCACCGAACAAGATTTGTGATGAAATGGAGCCTGGAACAAACTCTTTTCGAGTAGAATTTCCTGATTTTTCCAGCACCATTCTGCAAAAACTGAACCAGCAGCGCCAGCAGGGACAATTATGTGATGTGTCCATTGTTGTCCAAGGCCACATTTTCCGAGCACACAAAGCTGTTCTTGCTGCCAGTTCCCCCTACTTTTGTGACCAGGTACTCCTGAAAAACAGCAGGAGGATTGTTTTGCCTGATGTGATGAATCCCAGAGTGTTTGAGAACATTCTCCTGTCAAGTTATACGGGACGTCTAGTAATGCCTGCTCCAGAAATTGTCAGTTACTTAACAGCAGCGAGCTTCCTCCAGATGTGGCATGTGGTCGACAAATGCACTGAGGTTTTAGAAGGAAACCCTACAGTCCTTTGTCAGAAGCTAAATCATGGCAGTGACCACCAGTCTCCAAGCAGCAGCAATTACAATGGCCTGGTAGAGAGCTTTGAGCTGGGCTCCGGGGGCCACACGGATTTCCCCAAAACCCAGGAACTGAGGGATGGAGAGAACGAAGAGGAGAGCACCAAAGACGAGCTGTCATCTCAGCTCACCGAGCATGAATACCTTCCCAGTAACTCGTCCACAGAGCACGACCGGCTGAGCACGGAGATGGCGAGCCAGGACGGGGAGGAGGGGGCCAGCGACAGCGCCGAGTTCCACTACACCCGGCCCATGTACAGCAAGCCCAGCATAATGGCTCACAAACGCTGGATCCACGTGAAGCCCGAGCGCTTTGAGCAGGCGTGCGAGGGCATGGATGTGCACACACCCTATGATGAGCACCAGGTCACAGAGTCCATCAACACCATGCAGACAGAGTACTCAGTCCAGCCCTCGGGGGTAGAGGAAGACTTTCACATTGGGGAAAAAAAAGTGGAAGCAGAGTTTGACGAACAGGCTGATGAAAGCAATTATGATGAGCAGGTGGATTTCTATGGCTCCTCCATGGAAGAGTTTTCTGGAGAGCGGTCAGATGGGAATCTCATCTGGCATAAACAGGAGGCAGCCCTAGCGTCAGGCTACAGTGAGAATATTGAGATGGTGACAGGGATTAAAGAGGAGGCTCCCCACCTAGGATTCTCGGCCACCGACAAGCTGTATCTTTGTCAGTGCGGCAAGAGCTTCACTCACAAGAGTCAGAGAGATCGGCACATGAGCATGCACCTCGGGCTCCGGCCTTATGGCTGTGGGGTCTGCGGTAAGAAATTCAAAATGAAGCATCATCTCGTGGGTCACATGAAAATTCACACAGGCATAAAGCCATATGAGTGTAATATCTGTGCAAAGAGATTCATGTGGAGGGACAGTTTCCACAGGCATGTGACTTCTTGTACCAAGTCCTATGAAGCTGCAAAGGCTGAGCAGAATACGACTGAAGCTTGTACCAAGTCCTACGAAGCTGCAAAGGCTGAGCAGAATATGACTGAGGCTTGTACCAAGTCCTACGAAGCTGCAAAGGCTGAGCAGAATACGACTTGAGTGGCAGGCACAAAAATAAACTGTGGTAATTATGCAAATCTGGGCACAGATGATGCGTGCTACTTGCTATTATGAGAGAAGCTTAAAAAAAAGGAAGATATTTCTGCAAGACCAGTTCTAAGTAGGCCAATTAAAAAATCTGATTCTTCAAATTTGTATGTTCCCGGCCTGGAGTGGGTAAAGAGGATAAGTTCGCCCACCTCACACCTGGCAAGGTGAACCTTCAGGCCTCTTGTGAATGAAGCTGGTGGACTAGGGGGTAGAGATCCCTGCACTTGGAATTGGACTCCGATCCCCCCAGTTCCGTTTCAGGTGGCAGCGGTTTTTGATCAGTCATTATTGCAAGGTCATATTGGAATTTTATTTTGCTCTTTCTATAGATACTTAGGTAATGTGGGTTTGTTTTGGTAGCTGCTTCACTGAATGAAATGCTACTTATGTAATAGCTACAAATAATGTGATTCCTAGGATACTAAGTTGATTTAACAGAGCTCTCTTATCTGGTTTTGTTCTTTCTAAAGAGTATTGTAACCAAAACTATGGAGATATTAAGAGGGTGACATTCTAAGTAAGAAAAAAAAGTAACTCATGGTACAAGCTCCGATCTCTGTAAGATGCCACTGTCACAAAGTGTTTCAGACTCTTGATAAGTCAGAGTTTTATATTTTAGTACTAACATTTAGTTTGAACAGTTGTTTCTAATTGTAATTCTCTAGGGTGCCAGAGATAGGTATTTCTAACTGGTTTGCTGTTCCAAATCTTTTTTGTTTAATTGTAGCATCCACACGTGGGATCTGCTCTGGCTAGTAGACTTCTAGCCTGCTTTGACTCTGACCACGGTACCATTGGCTGCTCTAGCCCATTCACTCTGTCTTAGATTATGGTGCTTCCTGAAGTGGTCAGTCAATGACCAGTTACTGGGAAGGAGCTGGAAGCCACGACTGAGAGTTACCTGTGAACTTCAGGAGCCGATAGAGTGCTACAGCGACACTCCAACTGTCAGAATGAGAGCCGCCGAGTAGCAGAATTTTGAGTGTCAGGTTATGCTTAGGAGGGGACAGGGGAAACCAGTTGCTCAAGAAAAGGGGAGTTTTGAAAATACACTGGTAGGAGAGATACTCACAGAGGGGTATGTTGAGCTGGTCCTCCCAGCTCTTTAGGAGTGCCGGAATGTGTTTTAAAAGAAGGAAAGAGTCCTAATTTTAGAAAGTTGTCTGCAAATTCCTGCTCTCATTTAATAGATAAAGCTGCATAAATTTACAAGTCCGTATAGCTATACCTACCAAAAAAAAACCCAAGAAAAGTAGCTATTCTGAGACCTTTTCTGGGTATCAGTCAGAAGTTTGGGATTAAAAAAGAAGCTTGTTCAGGATGTTTTAGACTGTAACATACCTGAAGTTGTCACCAGGGTTGGGACAGGGTGCTACTGTTATATTAACTTTTCCATAAACTTACTGGTTTATTATTTCTTAGTGGAAACTTTTTTTCCTGAAAACAAAAATAACTTTTCTTGGATTTGGAGTGAAGTTTTTGTTTTAAAAGTTGGACTTTAAAAAATAAATAAATAAATAAAATAAAAGTTGGGCTTTACTCTGAAATGAGAGACTTTGCTGGCAATGGCCTCTGATCCTCAGACTCCTACTATCGAGGCATTTAGTTGTATGGAAAGGGGAAAGATTTACTTACCAGTTAACGCTTGTAATCAAGGTTACAAAACAGGGATCTATTCATTAACACTGTATCATTCTCGATATATAAAAAGCACTTTGTATTTAAAACTTTATTATAAATATATATATATATTGATTTTTTTAACATAGAAACTAGATATTACCTCTTGGTTGTTTACCACGTTAATACCTTCTTCTCTTAGTGTTGAAACTTCACCAGTTAAGTCATTTCTCTGTGTACCTGACAGAGTGTGTAGAGGTGACTTACAGCCAAGCTCAGTTGCTTCTCTTTTTCTCATGTTAGAAGTATTAGGTTTTAGGTATGATCCCAGCCATTGTATGTGAGGAAAAATTGTTGTATTACTTCTACTAATTTCAGTACTAAGGCAGTGAAACCATTTTGTTCAGCCAAAAGCCGGTCACCCTCTCTAATAGTATCAGCAGACCATTTTTGCCTGTTTGGAAGGTTTGATGTGCTGGTTTCTATTAAAGATTGTACTCAAATGAGTGTTGGAACACTTGGGAAGAAGAGTCTTGAGAGGTAAAATAAAAATATTCTGGAAAATCTCATGGTCCTTCAGTTACGTTGAGATCAGCACGCAGCTGTCGTGAGTGATGAGGAGGAGGACAGGACTAGTGGGCAGCTCTCTGCTGGTAGTTGTGGAAGCTGTCGGTTGTACTGGGACCTCATGTGTTAGGAAGAGAAGCAGATCTGTTGAAATCCTTATGTGTACATCTGCTAGTAAGTGTAGAATATAAAATATAAGTTCCTCACACCTGCCGTTTGAAGCTTTTTATGGTAGTGAGGTTTTTGTAAAAGTTAGAATTGCTGATCAGTAAACCAGACCCTGTGAGATGATTGGACATCTGAAATGCTGGCCATGTCCAGAGAGCCAGGGCAAGGGGATTGCCTTAGTTTGGATATTGAAAGTGAATCTTTATAAACTTTGCTTTTAGGTTTAAGAGATCATACTGTATTACTACTTTTTTTTTTTTTCCTCCTGCCCACCCTGGGTTGGACAGATAGTCTCTGTCCTTACCCTCAGTACAGCTTTAGAAAATCTTTCTCCTTCCTGTTGAGTTTGGAGAGCAGTGGGTAACGTTTCCAAACAGTCTTTCAGGGATCTTGTCAGTGGCCCACAGCCAAGGTGTTTGTCCCTTACTTTGAGTCTTAACTGTGGTTTCTCTCCAGTCCCAGTGGGAAAGGGCTTGAAGGCACCACCAGTGGTCTTTAATATTCATACTGATGCTGTGCCTTTCATTTTAGATCCACACATTACAGTGATCCACCTGGTAAAGTAGGTCTGACCGTCTGAGAACAGATTGCCATAACCTTTCCTCAGCTGTTGAGGGTTACCCTCCAGTCCCTTCTCTTGGCCGTTGGTCTCAAAGAGTCTGCCCAAAAGGGTCTCCTCTGCTCTAGTGGGCATTTGCCGAACTGAACTGACCCTGTGCTGACTTCTGACTGACTGACTGGGAAAGCTGCTTAGTCTCAGCGGCGTCTTCCCACAGAGGCACACGCCTCCTCCTGAGGCTGCTGCGGACATGAAGTTGGGGCTGAGCAGAAGCGGCATCACTGGCTTTCCCGGGGGAGGGGAGATTTGCTGTACCCGCCCCGCCCCGGGGCGGGAGGCCAGGGGAGGGTAGAAAGGACGCCATCACACCAACTTCAGGGGTTTGCTTTCATAAGGTCTCTGGATAATTTAGGAATGCTGAAAACCAAGCAACATAGACCCCACCCCTCCAGCCCTTCTGTGCCACACTAATTTTGTGATTTAGGTTGCTTTCATGTGACTCACTTTGTTCAGTGAAACCAGGGTGTTTGGATTTTTGTCTTTGCTAACTTACGTGTTCAAAGGTACATGTTTCTTATTTCAGATTTCTACTGATAGTGCCCTATGGGAAGATGCTGGAACACATTTTGCAAATGTGACTTTTTTTTTTTTTAGTTTTGCTTGAAGCCTGTGTCATAATGTCAATTGCTGCTGCCTTCTTTCCTTTTATGAGGTTCCCAATGTTTCTTCTAGAAAATTATTTATGCAAGTCAGGTGACTCTTAGACCACAAAACCATTTGACAATAAACAGAGTATCATTAGGTGCATATCTTATTGATATTTTGTGAAATGTTATGCCTGTGTTGCAAAAGTTGAATAGTTTTGTCTTTATATACTGCTGTCTTCAGTGTACAGCATGGTTTTACTTAATTGAATGTTACTGTTTAATATTTTCTTCTTATAGAAGAGACCATGCCCTTTTGTATGACATGTTTTAATAAATGTTATCTGTCAACTTTGTAAAAGTTCTGTTTTTCACTCTGGATATTTGACGACAAGTCTTTGTTTTCATTCTGGCCTTTGCCACCTGAGAATAAAAGTTATATTGTGGGCTTTTGATAAGTAAATGCCAACTAGCCTGCTCAGATGGGTGGTGGGTTGATCATTTGCCGTATTAGGCATTTATGAAGATTATCTCGTTTAGCCCCCTGGCCCCTCTGGCCCCATCAGGTGTTTGGGTGTCCTGGTTATTCTCTTTGCTCCTCCAGAGCCCCTCCCCACCCTGGGCTTCGCTTTGGAGGCTCACCCCTGTGGACCTGTCCCGGCTTCTGGTCCGGGTCTACCGGAGACACGCTGGGAGGAGTGTGGCGGGTGGGAGGAGAGAGAAGTCAGGGCATTCAGTGCCCCCTGCTCCTTTCCGCCAGGCGTGACTGGACAGCAGCTGGACGGGCTGCCTCCGCCGCAGCTCCTGTCGGGCAACTTGAGCGTCTGGTGACTACACCCTCCTCTTGTGCTTTCAAGCTGAGCCCCAGTCCTGACTCCCAGTTTTCCCAGCCCTCAGAGACTGAAGTGTCCCCGTAGGAGTTCTGGAGCCTGCCCACACCCTTTGTAAATAGTCCCTTATGAAGCGCCCCTCAGTCTCCCAGCTGAGTTACGTCTGTGTTCCGGGCCCGCACCCCAGCCGATGCCTTGGGTGCACTCGCCTCAACATGTGAGCCTGCTGTGGTTCACAGGAGGCGAGTCTTACCGAAGGAGGCACCGCAGCTTCCCCGGCAGAGCTGAGGTTCAGAGGCACGACTTGGGGCTACAGCACTCGGAAGGTGGTTTTTTCCAGTCTCTGTAATGCCGCCATGCTCTTTAGTCAGGTCTCTGTTTCACCTCACTTTCCCCTCCCCGGCTCCCCCACCCCCAGGAAAACCCACCAGAAGCAGCAACAGTGCTCTTTAAAAGTGCCGCAGGCGCTGAGGGCCACACGTATTTCCTAACAACAGCTCATTACCAGAGACACTGCTTGTTTTAGACCAAACTTAACCATCTTCCCACACAAACCTTCTG